GAGCAGAGCCTAGGCCCTCCCTGTGTATCTCGGCTGAGACAGTATCCCTCTGCGTGGAAGGGGCTCCCAAAGTCCATTTGTGTACTAGGGATAAATACTGATCCACTAACAGGGGCCCCATAGAGTGCTGAGGCCTCGTTGACATCCACTTTCAGGGGTCTGGATCAGTTCCGTGCTGGACTCCCAGACAGCAGTCTGGGGTCCATATGCTCCCCCTTGTTCAGGTCAGCTGTTTCTGTGGGTTTCACCAGCCTGGCCTTGACACCTTCAAGGCCTCCTCCTCTACAATTGGATTCCAGGAGTTCAGTTCAGTATTTAGCTGTGTGTGGGTATCTGCTTCTGCTTCCATCAGCTACTGGATGAAGGCTCTAGGATGGCATATAGTCATCAATCTCATTATCAGAGAAGGGCATTTAAGGTAGCCTCTCCACTATTGCTTAGATTTTAGTTGGTGTCATCCTTGTAGATCTCTGATAGATTTCCCTAGTGCCTGATTTCTCTTTAAACCTATAATGACTCCCTCTATTATGGTATCTATTTTCTTGCTCTCCTCTATTCTTCCCCTGACTCAACCTTCCTGCTCTCTCATGTCTCCTCTCCCCTTCTCTTTCTCCTAGCTCCCTCTCCCCTCCCCCATGCTCCCAATTTGCTCAAGAGATCTTGTCCCTTTCCCCTTCTCTGGGATACCAAGGGTCCTCCTTGTATCCTAGCTTCTCTGGTGGTGTGGATTGTAGGCTGGTAATCCTTTACTCTATGTCTAAAATCCATATATAAGTGGGTCCATACCATGTTTGCCTTTTTGTGACTGGGTTACCTCACTCAGGGTAGTTTATTCTAGTTCCATTCTTTTGCCTGCAACTTTCAAGATTCCATTGTTTTTTTTCCACTGAGTGGTACTCCATTGTGTAAATATACCACATTTTCTCTATCCATTCTTAAGTTGAGGGACATCTAGGTTGCTTCCAGGCTCTGGCTATTACAAATAATGCTGCTATGAACATAGTTGAACAGATGTCCTTGTTGTATGAATGTGTTCTTTTGGGTATATGCCTAAGAGTGGAATTGCTGGATCTTGTGGTAGACTGATTCCTATTTTCTTGAGGAGTCACCATACTGATTTCCAAAGTGGCTGTACAAGTTGGCATTCCCACCAGCAGTGGAGGAGTGTTCCCCTTTCTCCACATCCTCTCCAGCATGAACTGTCATTGGTGTTTTTGATTTTGGCCATTCTGACAGGAGTAAGATGGTATCTCAGAGTTGTTTTGATTTGCATTTCCCTGATGCCTAAGGATGTTGAACACTTCATATGTGTCTATTAGCCATTTTAGATTCCTCTATTGAGAATTGTCTATTTAGTTCTGTACCCCCTTTTTAACTGGATTATTTGGTGTTTTGGTGACTAGTTTCTTGAGTTCATTGAATATTTTGGAGATGAGATCACAGAAAAATGTGGGGTTGGTGAATATCTTTTCCCATTTTGTGGGCTGCCGTTTTGTCTTGTTGACTGTGTCCTTTGCCTTACAGAAGCTTCTCAGTTTCAGGAGGTCCCATTTATTAATTGTCAATCTCAGTGTCTGTGCTACTGGTGTGATGTTCAGGAAGCTCTCTCCTGTACCAATTTGTTCAAGGGTACTTCCCACTTTCTCTTCTAAGAGGTTCAGTGTGGCTGAATTCATGTTGAGGTCTTTGATCCATTTGGACTTAAGTTTTGTGTATGGCGATAGACATGGATCTATCAGCAGTTTTCTACATGCCAGTATCCAGTTATGCCAGCAACATTTTTTGAAGATGCTTTCTTTTTTCCATTGTATAATTTTAGCTTCTAGTTTCCAATGGCACCAGGTACACATAACACTCATAACACATAAATAAATAAAATTTATTTGCAATCTGTGTTAGTGTTCCATAACTATGATAAATCCATGAGATAATCATTGTCATTTGGGGGTTTCGGTCCCTTCACTGATGCAGCATAGGGTGGAGAAAACTATCCACCTCATGGCTGGAAATGAGAGAGGAAGTGAAAATCTTGGGTCCCACAATCCCCTTCAACAGCAAGCCTTCAATCACCTGCATGCAGACCTTCACCCAGGGCCACCTCTTCAAGATGCTGTGGAGCATCCCAGAGGTACCAATCTGAGGACCAAGCACACTGACATTTCGGATCCACCTAAAATCTACTGGTCACTTAGGGGCATACACAGAGTAGCACATTTATTTATTTATTTATTTGTTGCCTAACAAGGTATTCCAGACAATGCTCTGCCTTCTTTTTGGCTAATGCCATGCTCTTAACAATTGTGCTGAAGAATTGTCTGCTGTGGATTTCTGGAAGTTTCTTTCAGGAGTTGATTATATAGCTCTCATAGTCACGAGTCCATCAACAACATATGCCTAGTAAGGTGTCTTTAAAGAGAAACAATAAAACAGGTTATATTTTGAATGGTTGAAAAAATTATGGGACCAGGCTTTGAGAAACCTAAACTTCAAGGCACTGGTTCAACATAACATTTACTAACCCAGCACCTATGGTGACTTTAGGACTTTAGTTAGTTCCACAACTAACAGGAAATGAAGATGAGCCCAAAAGCCACACTTCCACACTTTGCTGTTGTTAATTTCTTTATTATATTTTATTGTTTGTCTTCTTTCAAGAACATAAAAAGAAACTAATACTAATCTCCAGTATAAGACATAACTATGTCTTGTTTCTTCAACATTGGTTACATCAACTTTTTTAAGTCTAGAAATTTCACTAGATGACCACAAAATGAGATGCCATAACCCATGGATCTCCTAGATCCTCCAGGTGCCTTGGTTTGGGGTAGAGTTTATCAGAAGGCCTTGTGGTGATAAGTACTGGCTAAGGGACATCTCAAGGCTCCTGTGGAATACTCCAGTGCTGTTAGCTTCTGACCTGAGAGTCAGGCAATATGAACAAGCAGATGGCTGTATATGTCCTGTAGGCTATGTAACAGCAGATCTTTGGCTGTAGCTATTCTATACTTTTTTTTAGAAGCCTTAAAACATCCTAGAGGAGGAAGAATCTATTTCTTTGTTCAAAAACTTCGCCTGCTTCCAACTGATCTAAGCATTGACACCAGCCCCAGGCTGTTCCAACTGATCTAAGCATTGACACCAGCCCCAGGCTGTTCTCATTAAGGGTCCCAGCTTGTCACTCTCTCTGTAGGCACAGGAGAAAGGACACAGACTTTGGAATCAGACCTGGGATCAATTTCCAGCTCTGCCTTCTCAAAACCATAAAACCACTGGTTCATTACTTGAGTCCTGCATGTACTTAACTGCATGGGCAGATGGTCACAGTGGGGACAGCACCTAGGAAAGGGTCTGGCACAGCTGTGGCCCAGCACTCTGCCGCAGGGGTTACAAACTCCAGAGGTGGACTGAGCCTCATTCTCATGATGGCTGCTTACTGTCTGCTTTTCATCATGGACTGACTAAAGATGTGCTGTATTTTGAGACAGAGTCTGGCTGTGTAGCTCATGCTGTCGTTGAATTCATGATCTTCCTGCCTCAGCCTCCTAAGTATGAAGATTAGAGGGGAATGACACCATAGCCATTTGGGCACAATTTATTTTTTTAAGTTGAGAATCCTGAAGATCACATATTAGTGCCAAAATTACCTGATAAAGCAACTTTCTACTTTCACTTAGAGAATTTTAAGTGGCCCCTGGACAGACAGAAGCCTGTTTCCAAAGGCACACAAGCCTTTTAGGTAGAGCTTTGACATTAGGCCTTGACTAGATGGTGTGTTGAGAACTGAAGAGTCAACTGCTACCCCCAGATAGGAATCTCTCATTCAAACCAATGAATGAGGAGCCCATGTCAAGAGTCAAAAAGCTATGCTTTCGTCACACAGCTGAACCAATCTCATGGAAACTCATGAACTCTGGACTGACAGTGTTAGAGACTCCAGGGGACTGAACTAGGCCCTCCTATGTGTGGGAGACAGCTGTGAAGCTTGGACTATAAGAAGAGCTCCTGGCAGTAAGACCATGATATAATCCTGGCACATAAGCTAGCTTGTTGGAGCCCATTCCCTATGGTGGGATGCACACAGCCTTAATGCATGGGAGAGGGGCCTGGCCCTGCCCTAACCTATTGTGCCAGATTTTGTTGACTCCTCATGAAAGCCCTTATTTGTGAGAAGTGGACTGGGGGGTGGGCTGGTGGGAGGCAGGGGTGGGGGTGGAAGGAGGGGTGGAAAGGAGAACTGTGGTTGTAATTTAAAATGAAATGTAAAATAATAAATTATTTAAAAAGAACACCAAAAAAAGAAAGTTAGAAATGTTTTGGATTTCATCAAAAAGTCCTAAGTCTACACTGTGAGATGGCATGAAGAAATAAGAGACCTTCAATGTCTCTAAGAAAGGAAAGGTGTTTGTTTTGTTGTTGTTTTGATTTATTAGTGTAGCCCAAGTACTTAGGAGGGTGTTGTGTATTTGGAGAGTATCATTAGAATATGAGGTGTTAGCAAGCATGTTATATATATGTTCTAGTACGGTGCTGACTATACAATAATTAGAATAAGTTCTTCACTGATAAACACAGATTTGTGCTCCAGCTGGTTAATATTGTGCCAGAATCTCATCCCATACAGGTCTACTTTACAATTTTTAACCTGTTGTCCTTTCTCTTGAAATTATCCATTTATTTATTTCTCCCTTGCAACAAGAGAGTGTAATGACTTGAGTGGGTGAGGAGGGTGAATTGAAATGAGATTTTTAGGGGTAGTTAAACTTGTGGTATAAAATTGGTTTGAACGGAATGGGAAGAAATTGAAGGCTGGGAGAAGCTGGAACTCAGTGAGACATGAGGTGTGTTTGACAGATTTTTCATATGCCACATTTGCCCTGTGCACGTTACCTCTGGATGAGGAAAAGAGTATCTAAATTCCTCCTGCTCTGTAACAGGACTGGGGGCTCAGCAGAGCTAATGACCATTGCCTCTGCTTGGAGGTCCAGATCCCAGACTTCTGAATACTCAGAAGTAAACATAATCAGACAGAGAGTGAGCCTGCCATGCTTTGAGAATTAAAATAGGGCGGTTTAGCTAGAATTAAGAGGTTGTAGAGAAAATGTCTTAGGAAATCTGGCCAGAGAAATAAATGAGAAATGGATACGATGGCGCACACCTGTAACCCCAGCACTTAGGAGATAGAGGCAGGAAGATCAGAGAGTTCAAAGCCACCTGAGGTACACGAGCCCCAGTCTAAATAAATAAAGAGATAGGTTGCACAGGGCCTTAACCAGTGCAAATACAGAATTTGGATTTATCTGTGTCAGTGATGCCAGAATAACTTTTAAGTAATAAAATCTTTTTTAGAAAGAAATATTATGGCAGGTCAATATGCACAGTAAATTTGAAGGAGGGGGGGGTCTTCTGTCCCCAGCTATGGAGCAGAACGAGGAGGAACTGGACAGCAGCTGGCTGTGATGCAAGACTGACATGCACTTGCAAGTGTTTTTAGTGTATCCTGTTCTGTCAGAGGAGAAACGCAGCATCATTTTCCTTGTCCCGTTGTAGTCCCCTTTACAAGCAGATGAAAGAAGAAAAGAAAAAGTCCATTTAAAGAGCTGCCCTTTGTTCTGATTAGAAGCGACCGAAAGTGCTTAGGAATTTACGGAAAGTTTAGCCTTCGAGGGCAAGAGGTCTTTGATGCCCCAAACCAGTGAGGAAACGGAATCTTTTCCATTTAGTACATTCAGTTGGAACAAGTTCATGGACTAAACTTAGACTTTTAAACTCTTTCCGGGCTGGTGGAGGCAAGTTTTAAACAAAAGGCTTTCCTTGTACTTTATTAAAAACCAAGACGGTGAATCTTGAATAGCATGAGTACCACCCACCGCAGGCATTCTGTTGTGTGTGGTTTTGACTGCAGGATGCACGGACGGACAGGCGGCAGCCTTTGGCCGGCTGCACTTGCTGAGGTCCCTGTCCTGCCCTGCGTGTGCGGCTTGTGTGACTGGTGATGCAAACGCGCCCGCCCTTTTCTGGGAACACAGAAAGCCTGAGTCAGGCGGAGGCTCGGAGGTATTAAAGCGCTGGCGCTGCGTCGGGCAGGGGCAGGCACAAGCACTTGCAGGATGAGGCTTCCCGGCTGGTACTGGCTGAGCTCGGTGGTGGCGGTCCTGGCTGCCTGCGGAGCAGGAGCAGAGCAGGCGCACAACCTGACCGAGGAGCTGCGGGATGCGAGCGCCCAGGCCGCCTGCCCCGCCAGGCTGGAGGGCAGAGGGAAGTGTGAGGGCAGTCAGTGCGGGTTCCAGCTCACCCTGCCCACGCTGACCCTCCAGCTCCCGCAGCAGCTCGGCAACATGGAGCAGGTGCTCAAAGAGGTGCGGGCCCTCAAGGAAGCTGTCGACAGTCTGAAGAAATCCTGCCAGGACTGCAAGCTTCAGGCTGACGACCATGGAGACCCAGGCGGGGACGGAGCAGGGCCGGCCGGGGACGCCCGAGTCCAGGAACTGGAGAGTCAGGTGAACAAGCTGTCCTCTGAGCTCAAGGATGCCAAGGACGAGCTCCAGGGGCTGCAGGGGCGCCTGGAGACGCTGCACCTTGTAAACATGAACAACATGGAGCACTACGTGGACGACAAAGTGGCAAATCTAACGTTCGTGGTCAACAGTTTGGACGGCAAATGCTCCAAGTGTCCCGGCCAAGAATCCACCCAGTCACAGCCGGGTAGGTGCCATGAGCTTCTTGCCGTTTGTGCCTGGAGGCTGCCATAAACGCTAACCTGAGGGAGTAAGTTAATCAGTGTGTCACCTGTTGGTTATGGCAGGAGGAACGAGTATTTTTCCCAAATGAGAAGTGGTAAAGGATCTGATTACAAAAATCCTATCAGCTGTATCCGATGGAGACGCTGGCAGGTAGTCTCTAGAGCATCCACCCTGGCTGACCCACCCTCCCGCCATCAGAAGCCAATTCCTCCTGGGTTAGTGCCTGCAGCCGGGCTCAGCGTCACAGGATAGATATGGCAAAGTTTCCGGCTGTTCTTGGGCCTCGGAAATCGGGTCTTGGATGGCTTCTGACCACTTCTCACAGCAGCAGGTGGTCTTTGAAAGGCTTTCAAAAACAATCTGCTGTGCTTGAGTCTCAAACACCCAGTGAGAATGGGAGATTTTATACATAGACTAAAAGCTGCTCCGTGTTTGCAAGACATTGTGGTTTGAGACTTAGTGTCATGTCCATCCTCACCATCCCAATTACTTAACAGTAACACTGATACTGTTTTTAAAGACCACAGACGAGCTGCCTACCAGGCCTGCAGCATTGTTTTCCATGACCCTTGCTGATGGTGTTGCCACACCCTAGAAGGCCACCTCTATGCTAGGATCTGTGCTCATCCTGACTGTGAGGTTAATGGAACATAGTGTGATCGTTTCATTTGGAATCTCCTGGCGGTAGTAGGTCATGGTGTGTCAAGGACCACTGTCACTAGTGACCCTGGCAGCCTGGATGGAATTCACCCTGCATGTTGCCAGGTAGACAATGATGTTTTAAGTGACATCACAGGGTGTATATTAGATATGGCGCTGCACTGTGACTTGAAATGATACAAAAAAGATTCTATTATTTACTTTTCTCCTAAAAGTTTTAGGGCATAAAATATTATGAATTCTAAATACACAATTTTTTTGCACCTCACAAGAATCTTTTTTCCCAGATTTTTTTATTTGAATTAGAAACAAGATTGTTTTACATGACAACCCCAGTTCCCTTCTCCCTCCGGTCCTCCCCTACCACCTCCTCCCAACTAAAACCCTACCTATCACATATCCTTTCTGTTCCCCCTGAATGGTGAGGCCTTCCATTGGGGGAGTTATCAGAGCCTCACAAGAATCTTAAATAACTTATTTTATCTGACTCAAATTTTTATAAACACTAACTGGGAACAAATAGTTGGTCTCTGAGCTCTACAAAACCCTGCTGACTGTTTACACTGAGCACAATCACCCTGATGCTTCTTCTAGAAAACAAACTGACTATACCTTTCTGAATAATAAATTCAGAATAATACTGGTATATTATTGGGACACCATGGTTTTTTGTTTTTAAACTTGAACCTCTTTATAGGTAAAATGAGAGTGGGATTCTGAGCAATGCTGTGCAATGAAGCTGACGCTTCTTTTGGAACATATCCCATAACCTTAGCTGATTGTGTCTAGAGTGTGGCCCAGGAGACTTGGTCTCCTCTCAGTTTAGGACAGAGGAAATCCATGGTTGTGAGAACAAGCTCTCTTCCAGGCAGGTTTGACTTTATGTCCTAGCTCTTAACACTTGTTCCAAGTGGGAAGAATCACCAAACTTCTTTGAGAAGAACAGACTTTATAAGCAAGCTGGCAGTAGTAACACCTACCTCCCAAGGCTGGCTCGTGTATTCAGTGCAAAACCGCTAGTGTTTGGTAGAGTTTCTGGAGGTGCTGTCACCATTATTACCAACCATGACACTCCTGTGTGAGTGATAACAATGGTTGGTTCTGAGGCCTTAATACACATCTATTGGCCAGGTCCAGCTGAGTGTGTTAGAGCCCAGTTCCATGATCAGCATTAACTGACTTATCAAATTGCTTTTGAGTCTAGGTAGTCTTCAGATGCACAGCTTTTGTTAACAAAATTCCATGCTTTTCTTTCTTCCTCTTTCAGTTCAACACCTAATATACAAAGATTGCTCTGACTACTACATGATAGGAAAAAGAAGCAGTGAGACCTACAGAGTGACCCCTGATCACAGAAATAGCAGCTTCCTGGTGTACTGTGACATGGAGACCATGGGGGGAGGCTGGACGGTGCTACAAGCTCGCCTCGATGGAAGTACCAACTTCACCAGATACTGGAAAGACTACAAAGCAGGCTTTGGAAACCTTGAACGAGAATTTTGGCTGGGTAATGATAAAATTCATCTGCTGACCAAGAGTAAGGAAATGATTTTGAGAATAGATCTTGAAGATTTTAAAGGTCTCAAATTATATGCCTTGTATGATGAGTTTTACGTGGCTAACGAATTTCTCAAATATCGATTGCATATTGGTAACTATAATGGCACAGCAGGAGACGCCTTACGTTTCAGTAAATATTACAACCATGATCTGAAGTTTTTCACCACCCCTGACAGAGACAATGACCGGTACCCCTATGGGAATTGTGGTCTCTATTACAGCTCAGGTTGGTGGTTTGATGCATGTCTCTCTGCAAACTTAAATGGCAAATATTATCACCAGAAATACAGAGGTGTCCGAAATGGGATTTTCTGGGGCACCTGGCCAGGAATTAGCCAGGCACAGCCTGGTGGCTACAAGTCCTCCTTTAGGCAGGCCAAGATGATGATTAGACCCAAGAATTTCAAGCCATAAATTGTTAGTGTGTATCTCTAGGGGTATTTACTATCTAAAAGGCAATGAATTCCCTCTGCCTTTTACCATATATTCCTTTCCTATGGTTAAAACATTTCCTTTTAAACTTCACAGCTTTTGAAACAATGCTAAAAATATCTAAAAAGACTTCTTTGTTGCTGTTATATAAAGCATGCTTCTACATCATATCTGCAAATTCTTTAATTGTCATTAGTTGAAAAAGTTCCCAACTATATTTATTATTTTTTACAATTAAAAAACTAAATTATTCAGCAAGCTAAATTCTATATAAACAACTTTTATTTTCACTAGGGCTTAACTTGCATATTTGAAAATACATTAGTCTTTTCAGGTCAAAGGTACTCATGTATCTGTATGTAGCCAAGAATCATAGTATTTGCATTGCACCAAGAGACCTTTTAAGTTCTTAAAAAAAGACACAGGGAGATAAGATGAGTAGCTAAACTTATGTAGTATTTATGAAATGTAGAATATGGCATTAAAACATCTTAAAATGAAGTAGCATAATATGTTTCTTCCCCAGCCAAACTAGAAAATGATGTCACCCTGAAGACTTTGGTTTCGTAGAAATTCATTCACTGTTTAGGGCCTGTTAGAACCTAATGCAAAACCTGCTTTGTTGTCAGCCTCTGCTCTACATGCACAATAGTTTTTAATGTAAGGTGCTAGACTACTGTAAGACTTTCTTAGGGAAAGGCACAATAGGGAAAAAACATTTATTTAGACTTTGAAAGCCAATCCTACACCCAAAGCAATACTATTGTTATGGGATCAACTTCCTAGGAGCTAACTTTTCTAGAATAAGTTTATTTAAGATGATTTTGAAATAGTAGTTCAAATTTTATACATTGTAATACAAAATTAATTGGATTGCTTATTTCAGTCTCAGAAATTCAAAGAATATACATATGCAAAATATAAGTTCCTGGAACTTTTAGAATTTCTTAAATGTAAAATGCCAAGGATCATTATTAAAGAGCTTTAGGAGAGGTTTCATTTTACCATTGTGAAAAGGGACCATTTCAGGGAGAAACGAGGGTTGAGTAGAACTTGAAGTACTGTATGCAGTCAGTTATATGAGGTAACTGACTGTACAGTATGCAATGTGTAAGCAATAACTGTGATCTTTAAATTTTTGCTGTGGTTTCCAATATACTCACCAAACTTTAAAATATATTTGCAAGGATTCAACCTTACTTATTTTTTGAAAACAATTAGGGAGCATAGTTATTGTCTTTACTGCTTACATTTTCAAATATGTAGTCATTGTAGAAAAAAATCTTTAAAAGGTGAAAGATTATTTTAAAAATATGAAACAAGATGTTTTCAGGTAAATACAATAAAATTAATCTATTATTAATATAATTAAATTACCAGAGCAGGGTAAATACACGCTGAATTAAGTGACCAAATGTAAAATGTAGCTTTCAAAGGCTGTTTACATACTTGGTACAATATTTGAATGTAAGTGACATAATTGATTTTAATTGTTTCCTTTTAAAAAAGGCCAAGAAGAAAAAAAAATAAAAAAAATAAAAAGGACCAAGAAGATTTTGATATACAATATACATGTTTCAAATCCTGTCTACTATATGTAACTGTATGAGTCTAAAGACATTTAAGTCATAAAATTGGGCTGATGATAGCCAAGAAAAATGTGCATTCATGTTCAGTGTGTCTTTTTCAGGGGAGTTTGGTGAATAACAGTATCCATGTACATTATCTTTGCACACTCAATGAATCAATATATTGTTTTCTATTATACTCTTATGGTGGTTTTATAATGAACTCTTTAACACAGAAATTTATTTTGAAATCATTTTCTGTCACTCATTTAAAAATATATTGTAGACTTTGATAATCTTTAACCTGTTTATTGAAATAGTCCTTTGTCTTAACTATTCACCAATAAATGCCAATGATCATAAATGTACAATATTTGCAATTATTTATTTTTAGAATTTTGGTTTCATTTGGGTGACTAATACTGATTTTAATTACTACTTTATTGATGAACATTATTCTTTAAAAATGCTGAGTGAAACTAATTTCTTTTTTATTTCAATTAAAAACAATCTTATTTTGCATATCAATTCTAGTTCCCTCTCCCTCTCATCCTCCCATTCCCCCTATCCTCTCCCCATCCCACCCCTACCCATCCACTCCTCAGAGAGGCCAAGGCCTCCCATGGGGGACCATCAAAGTCTGTCACATCATTTGGGGCAGGGCCTAGGCCCTCCCCCTGTGTCTAGACCAAGAGAGTGTCCCTCTGTAGAGACTGGGCTCCCAAAGTCCATTCCTGCACTAGGGATAAATACTGGTTCCACTGCCAGAGGTCCACAGACTTCCCTGGTCTCGCAACTGATACCCACATTCAGTGGGCCTGGTTCAGACCTATGCTGGTTCCCCAGCTGTCAGTCTGGGGTTCATAAGCTGCCACTTGCTGTTTATGTGGGTTTCCCCAGCATGGTCTTGACCCCTTTGCTCATCACTCCTCCCTCTCCATAACTGGATTCCAGGAGTTTGGCTCAGTGCTTAGCTGTGGATCTCTGATCCTGCTTCCATCAGCTACTGGATGAAGGTTCTAGTATGGCATTTAAGGTAGTCATCAATCTCATTATTGGGGAAGAGTGTTTAAGGTTGCCTCTCCACTATTGCTTAGATTCTTAGTTGGGGTCAACCTTGTAGATTTCTGGACATTTCCCTAGTGCCAAATTTCTCTTTAAACCTATAATGGCTCCCTTTATTCAGGTATCTCTTTTTTTGCTTTCTTTCTCTATTCTTCCTGATCCCTCATGTTCTCCTCTACCCCTCCCCTTCCTCCTACCACCCCCCATCCATGCTCCCAGTTTGTTCAGGAGATCTTGTCTCTTTCCCCTACTCCATGTTTGATGTAAATCTCTCTTAGGGTCCTCCTTGTTTCCTAGCTTCTCTGGTGGTATGGATTGTAGGCTGGTTATCCTTTGCTCTATGTCTAATATCCACTTATGAGTGAGTACACACCATGTTTTTCTTTCTGGGTCTGGGTTACCTCACTCAGTATGGTTTCTTCTAGTTCCATCCATTTGCCTGTGAAATGTCAAGATTTCATTGTTTTTTTTTTTCCCCCCCACTGAGTAGTACTCCATTGTGTAGATGTACCACATTTTCTTTATCCATTCTTCAGCTGAGGGACATTGAGGTGGTTTCCAGGTTCTGGCTATTACAAATAATGCTGCTATGTCTGTGTGGTATGAATGCGCATCTTTTGGGTATATGCCTAAGAATGGAATTTAGGTAGACTGATTCCCATTTTCCTGAGGAACCACCATACTGGTTTCCAAAGTGGCTATACAAGTTTGCACTCCCACCAGCAATGGAGAAGTGTTCCCCTTTCTCCACATCATCTCCAGCATAAACTGTCATTGGTGTTTTTGATTTTAGTCATTCTGACAGGAGTAAGATGGCATCTCAGAGTTGTTTTGATTTGCATTTCCCTGATGGCTAAGGATGTTGAGCACTTTACTTTCTTAGGTGCCTTTCAGCCATTTTAGATTCCTCTATTGAGAATTCCCTATTTAGTTCTGTAGCCCACTTTTTAATTGGATTATTTGGTGTTTTAGTGACTATCTTGTTGAGTTCTTTCTTTTTATATTTTGGAAATCAGCCCCTTTGTCAGATATGGGGTTGGTAAAGATCTTTTCCCATTTTGTGGGCTGCCATTTTGTCTTGTTGACTATGTCCTTTGCCTTACAGAGGCTTCTCAGTTTCAGCAGGTCCCATTTATTAATTGTCGATGTGAAACTAATTTCTTTGGAATTTGACTGACTCATCTGTCACTAAAGGAGAAAGACATTTTGCTGAGAAGCAGTAATGCCCCAAATGTATTCATGTTCTGATGAAGAGAGCTTGTATATGCAAAGCATAAGAAGCATCTGAACCACAGTATTGGCTGTCCTTCATTGCTGGTAGCTTCCCCACACCCCTCAAAAAGTCATAAAGGTAAAATGGATGTATGGAATTACAACAAACTCTTGCTTAAAATTATTTTCATTGATGTGTAATTAAGGTTGTGTTTCATGTCTCTTTAAAGCCTTGTAAAATAAAATATTTAATCTTCATATCTATCTTTCAACATGGAAACATTGTAAGATGATATATATATGTATATACATATATATACATATATATATATATAATCTGAAAAGTTGAACTGTATTTACCTAATCTAGATAATATCCCTGTGTCTTTAAAAACACTGAGTATTATTTCTTTAAAAGGAAGCAAGGCAGCTAGAGGAACACCATTATCTATTTCCTTTAGAATGCTGTCGACACATCCTCAATACAGAATTGTCCTTTCTCTGTTCAGACATTTAACTGTCTCTCCTTCTTTCTATCATTAATGTTACTGGTGGGTTTAGCACTCCTTTCCTTATGCATACAGACCTTACCAAGGTCTTCATTGTGGACTACGAAGAGCCAGAAATGGGAAAACAGGTACACTTGGAGAACCCAGCATACTCCACTTCCCAAACATGACTGAGTCTCTCTTACAGCTGGAGGTGTCCCCTCCCTTCATGTCTGTTGAGCAGCCTGGAAGACACTTCTGCCTTCTTTGCTGCAGGGCTGGTTTCATTTCTCCACATTCCTTCATCTTACTCATCAGAACCCACAAATCTTTAACAAGGGCATACTCTGATGTCAGGCATAAAATCACACGGGTGGGGAAGTCTCTACATATCATTGCCAGTTTAGCAAGAATGCTAAGGAAGACATATATAGGCAGATTTGGAGGTAGTTTGAGAAGGAAGAGTAAATTTTAGAAGTGGTTGAGTTTGTCGGCCTATGTACATTTGCCAAAAATTATCTATTCAAAGATGACTCAAGAAGAAATGTTTTGCTCTAATAGTTTGCCTACCTAATAAACATAAACCTATATTCAATAGCAGCTTGTGTTAATACATCTGAGAAGCCAGAAATGTCTTAAAACTCAAAGATTTATGGACGTAAGAAGTCTGTGTGCAGTTTGCCTTAATTAATTCAACAGATATTTGGACATATTCCGGAAAGTCTCCTTGGAGGACAGAGGTGTACCATTGACCAACATAGAAACCCTGCACTCCAAGTTTAACCAGGAGAAACTTTCATGGCAAAAAGCAAGCAGATGTGAGAGGATTAGAGGAGGTGGTGCTGGTTAGTACAGGGTCTGGAGAGGAGACCTCTCTGTGGTGATGACAGGTTAACAGAAATTAAAAGGAAGAAGTAAGAAAACAGAAAACAACCGAGAGGAGCAGGTTCCAAGCCAAGGGAGCCAGAAGCATCAATGTTTGGAGTCTGGAGAGCACTTGGCACATTTGAGAGTCAGCAAAGGGACCCATGTGTGAAAAGCAGAATCTAGCCTGCTGGGGGCCAGAGACTAAGACAAAAGGGAAGCTAAGAGGGCTGCAAGTGAACAGATGGGAGGGCCAGTGACAGGCCACACAGGCCTTGTGGGGCCACAGTGCCAGGCCACCTAAGCCTTATAAACAAGGATGTTTCTCATTCTAAGTAGATAGGAAATTGATGGCTTTGAACAGGGGAAGGACATCATCTCCTCCAGTTGGAAAAGGTTGGCTCTCTTGCTGTGGATACAGGGGTGTTTCCAGTGTGATAGTGCTAACACTGTGCTGCAGAGAGATGATGAGAGCACAGACGACAGCGTTTACAGTGAAGTCTGTCTGTTTTGAGGTAGATTGGACAAGATTTGATGGTCAAAGTCAGTTGAGGATAGCAGAAAATAAATAAATAAATAAATAAATAAACAAACAAACAAATAAATAAATAAATAGAGGCATCACCTCAAACCTCAGAATTTCAGACTGAGTAACATTGGAAGATGGAGCCATCATTACCTGAAATGAGGACGTCTTCTGCAGAGTGGAATAGAGTGAGGGTTGGCACCTGCAGACAGAACGCACAAACTTCAAATACCTCTAGGTGGAGACTGGCCTTTGGCTTTAGTCTCCAGTTCAGGGGGGAATAACAAGGGTTTAGAGACATGTTTGAGAATGCATTTAGAAATACAATTGAGCTCAGTTACAGATCTAATGAACTCATGGGACCAGAAAAGATAACCTAGTAAAAAAGTGAGCATGGAACACAGAGTTTTCAGGAGCCTGGGCCAATTCACCTTGCAAAGAGGTTGGGGGTAAGGAGTAGCCAGGGTCCAGCTATCTTATGATTGCACCGGAGAGGACTCAGGGATGTCTCCATCAGAGGGTGGAATTTCACTCCCACTGGAAAGCACATATATTCTAGTTTCACATTTGCTTTTCATGACAGCAAAACGTGCCTTCTTTTCAGTCTTGTAGTGTGTCTTAGATATCATTATGGTGCTAGCAGCGTTCTTTTGTTGAATTAATTGCTGTCTTAAAAACAAATGTGGTATTTTACAATGGAAAATACTTACTTGACTTAGGAAATCATCCACCATGAAAGAAGGAGGCAACGACCTATCAGAGCCTCAGATTCTGTCCTTCTGGGACATATCTTCTTGTCATAAGGGAGTACTGTCATGCTGAATACAGTGTGTGTGTGTGTGTGTGTGTGTGTGTGTGTGTGTGTTTGTGTGTGTACATGTCCATATATATATATATGAACAATATATATATATATATATATATATATATATATATATATATATCAAAAGAAACAAGAATTGGGCCACAGAGAAAAAACCTCCAAGTTTATTGACAGTATACTATCTAGTTTGACAAATCATTTAATATCATTGAGATACAATGAAGTTATGATATAGTTTAACAGATATTAGTTTTTATTCCCTTTCTCTCTCTCTCTTTTTTTTTTTTAGAGATATCAGTGATATTGTTTCTTTCACAAGTATTTTATAAAAGTTACCCAAGTTAGAGGTAGCTTAAACTCAAATTCCTAGC